CGTTCGTTCGTTCATTCATTCATTCATTCATTCATTCATTCATTCATTCATTCATTTATTCATTCATTCATTCATTCATTCATTCATTCATTCATTCATTCATTCATTCATTCATTCATTCATTCATTCATTCATTCATTCAAGTTATTCATTCATTCAAGCTTTGTATGTATGTTGGACAACTGCTATTTCTACTCTTCTGCTTCAAGCTCCCCTTCTTCCTATGCAATACAAGGGAAGGTCCAATTGTCCTTAGATGGACATGGAAAACATAACATTTTTTCCCAATTTTATGTATAGTCAAAGTTATTTTTAAAACATGCCTAATAGTCTATAGATAACCTGGCATCTGTCTTATGCAGAAAACTCAGCACCTGATTACTTGGCGGGACTGAAGCACTGCTTTCTGTAGCAACAGCTTCCACTTTTTCTTGCTTTTCTTCTGGTATCGGCTGCTAATAAAGCATTTGGGAGGATGCAATAAGCAACATGCATTAATTTTCATGTGCCATGTAATGTTACTCTAGAAGCAAACTATGTGATGAAGTTAAATTACACTTTCTTTGGTACTGACTACACTGTCCTTGGTACTGACTACACTGTCCTTAGTACTGACTACACTGTCCGTGATACTGACTGCACTGTCCTTGGTACTGACTACACCGTCCTTGGTACTGACTACACTGTCCCTAGTATTGACTACACTGATCTTGGTACGGACTACACTGTCCTTAGTATTGACTATACTGATCTTGGTACTGACTACACTGTCCTTGGTACTGACTACACTGTCCTTAGTACTGACTAAACTGTCCTTGGTACTGACTACACTGTTCTTAGTATTGACTACAGTGTCCTTGGTCTGACTACACTATCCACAGTACTAGCTACACTGTCCATGGTACAGACAACAATGTCCAAGGTACAGACTACACTGCCTAAGGCATTGACTTCCACTATGGCATTCGCTACTGTCCATGGTACTGACTACACTGTCCACAGCACCCACTACACTGTCCTTAGTACTGACTAAACTGTCCTTAGTACTGACTAAACTGTCCTTGGTACTGACTATACTGTTCTTAGTACTGACTATACTGTCCTTAGTACTGACTAGACTGTCCTTAGTACTGACTATACTGTCCTTGGTACTGACTATACTGTCCACAGCACCGACTACACTGTCCTTAGTACTGACTTAACTGTCCTTAGTACTGACTAATAAACTGTCCTAGGTAATGACTACACTGTCCTTGGTACTGACTACACTGTCCTTGGTACTGACTACACTGTCCTTGGTACTGACTACACTGTCCTTGGTACTGACTACACTGCTCTTGGTACTGACTACACTGTCCTTAGTACTTGTGACTACACTGTACTTGGTAATGACTACGTTGTCCTTAATAATGACTAAACTGTCCTAAGTACTGACTACACTGTCCTTAGTACTGACTAAACTGTTATTGGTACTGACTACATTGTCCTTAGTATTGACTACAGTGTCCTTGGTCTGACTACACTATCCACAGTACTACATGTAGCTACACTGTCCATGGTACAGACAACAATGTCCAAGGCACAGACTACATTGTACAATCCAAAACATACTGACTACACTGTGCATGGTACTGACTACTTTGCCTAGAAGACACTTCAAAATTACTGAGAGAATGTCAACCATTGAACCACATTGAAGGATTGAATTGGTACATTTCACAAATCATGTATGATAAGCAAGGTGTGTCCCATGATTCAAGAGATATAGATTGAAACAACAATCAAAACTGTTTATAAATGGAAGAGAAAACAATAATCTATAACAGTAAACTTTGAGGCGGACTTTCTATGGAAGTATTACATATGGATGGACACAAAGAGAAAATGTAAAGAACATTTATGATGATGATAAGTAAAGATGATGTACACACTCAAAGAATATGAACTGCCTAACTCTAATAATGCATCAAAAGAAAAAGAGTGCAAATTGCCAAAGGGGTGGTCAAATAAAGGGCACAGCAAAGCCTTAAGCAGAAGCACCTGATCGTTTGCTGGGACTGTATCACTTCTTTCACTGTCATCAGTCACAGAAACAACTTTGGGTTCAACTTTTCCCTGCTTTTCCTCTTTTGGTAGCTGTTAGCAAAGCATTAAAAATAAAAGGACATAGTGAGTATAATAGCAAAATGTATACCTTTGGCATAAACAAAAAAAGCTAAACCAGGCGAAAGTGGCAAGATTCTAAAGGCACTAGAACTATTTATTACAGGTATAAACACTATTCAATGATGATCTGAAACAGCTTTGATTAGTGACACACATTACAATTGGCTGCACATGTCCCAATGGTTTGTCATGTCTATTCAAATACAGGGTATGAATTCCATTCCCAATTTGATGCTTTTTATCTGTTACTTACATGTAGAAGGATGCTCCTAAATTTGCTTACAAGCATAAAAAAGCAACACTTTGCTGTAAGAGAAAAAAATACCCCTCCAAGGGTATTTTGGAAGCAAACCTCACCAAATTACTGTCAAGGACCTCCAGCCAAATTCCCTGAATTGCCTGAGAAGCAAGAATATCTTTCCCTTGAAAATCTACCCTAACACTTGATTGGGTTTATTGACTTGAGCACGTTGCAATGATTGGGAGGACACCTGATATTGCTGCTGAAAATTCCTTTTGAGCTCCAAGACTCATTGGAAGAGTTATTTTCCTGCTGTGTGAAGCTAGTTTTATGTACAGGATTTTGGCTTACTGGGTTCAATAGCTATATTGCTATATTCACTTTGAGTAGTCAGGGCTCGAAATTCATCTTTGGGGAATAGGTGCACTGGTGCACCCAACCTAAAAAATTTGGTGCACAGAAAGGTGCAATTTTTGGGGTGCACCATATAAAACCAAACCTAATTACAGATCTTACTGCTCCTCTTCTGAGCTTGAATCTAAAATGGGAGCTAACTTCACAATCTTAAACAAGTACTACAACAAAGGTTTTATGATTTTTGTGACACTTAGATGCCAAGAATATCCTGTATAATATATTATACAAATTTGATATGTATAAAAATACCTACAAAAATACCAGTGCACCCACAGAAAAAATTGGGTGCACAGCTCCAATTTTGGGTGCACTAAGGTGCACATGCACCCAGTATTTCCAGCCCTGGTAGTGCTAGTTGTTTTTACCTACAGGAAAGCTACAAGAGCACAGGACAAAGAGCACACGAAGCAGGTTAATCAGATTAGCACCTGATCAGATGGTGTATCAGAAGCACTGCTTTCTGCATCAGCATCACCACCACCTTTTCCCTGCTTCTCACCTTCCACAGGATACTAGCAAAAGCATTTGGAAGGGAACAAAGCACATCATGCGCATATATTAACACTGTAAGTATTTGTCTCGGAAAAGGCAGTTAAATAAGCTTGTCAATGAGATAAAAGCCATTGACCTCAGTCAGTAAAAAAAAAGCATAACAGAGGAACAGCCGAAAAGGATGCTTATCTGAATTCCATGCCTGCCATTACAAATGAAGCATGCCTGAGCAAGCATTAAGATGCTAATAATTACTACTAATCAACTATTGATTAATTGCATACAGCTTATATTACTGTACATTGTTACATTGCTACAAAATGGTGAATTAGAACACTACAAACATGCATTAGTGTGCGTGACATTCACCACTTCAAGCACAGGATCATTATAAGAAGCAATTGATCTAACATATGTGTCCATAATATCACCAGGGTCCATAATATTGCCACCTTGAGAAATAGTGTGCTTAAACTTAAAGATATTTTTACTGCAACATACCCTAGGTATGTACATTTGAGCTGTGCAGGAGTGCATACCAAAAGTATGTTGCAGTAAAAATATCTTAAAGCACATTGTTTCTCAAGGTGGCGATATTATGGACCCTGGTGATATTATGGACACAGATGTTAATTGTTAATAGTTAATATAATCATGCCAGAGAACACAGAGAGTACAGTGAGGGTACATGACTAGAAGGGCACCTGTTTGCTCCTATGGAACGGAACACCACCGTATCTGTAACCTTTATCTGGACGCCTGTATCCCCGAGGGTACTGAGGGTCATCGAGGGGTATAAAGGAATTCTGGTAAGACAACAGAACCTTACAGACCAGAAAACTATATGACAGCCTCGTTTGGGAGGAAGTATGTAAGTGAGGGGGAGAGATATTGTACGCCCTTTGAAGAATATAAAAAAATGATCAAATGGTGTGCAGCTCAAAAATGTTGTCATACTCAAGTCTTAATTGAACAGAGAGTCTCTAATAGATATAGTTGTGTGTGTATAATTATATACAATGTAGTATGTAAAGTTACAACTTAAAGAATCTGATGAAAAAATTGTACAATCCTCATGTAGAAATTAACATTTGCAAGGCAAATGCATAATGTTTACCTTCGCATATGGTCAGCTCTGTTAATTCTTACTCAAACACATTCATATTATATGGTGACAGAAGTCTACAATGTAAATCCCCCCTGCTATAAAATTGCAACATGATGTAACCCAACACTAGTAACCATGGCAACAGACACAACATAGGTTTAGGTCAGAGATGACTGTTTGGAGGAGAAGAAGAAGAAACTGAGCAAAAACAATATGTTTTCCTTTGGTAAACATAATCACTATATACTTGACAATGTATGTAACCAGATGGATGCAGGGTGGCGAGAGTGAATGACAGTTGATGATAAATGAGGCTGTTTTCATTCAAATCCTCCCTCCCTGAACCACACGGTGAACTAAAGACTACCGTATAACCTAAGACTTAGTAGATACATGTACACAATAGGCAATCACAAGCTAAAAGTAATACAGTCACACATATGTTCATAAGCAAAGCTGGAAAGTGCAGGCATCTCAGATAATGAAAGGTACCCTTAGAGACTTAACAGAGAAAGCTTATAGACAAGACAGCTTGAACCATAAATGTAAGGCACCTGATAGGACAGCCTTGATGGGGCAGCACCATATTTAGCACCTCTGTCCAAAGCGCCATATCTTTGAGGTTGCTGAGGTAAGAAATAAACCACAAAATACATGAAGAACCCTTTTTTCTAAAACCTGCGGTAGCTAAGTTTATTAATGGCTCAAAGATGGCCAGCCACCATTGGACAACCAATGAGCAACCAAAAATCATTGATCATTATGATCATACTAAAAGACCTGGAAGATTACAGAGTGCTCCTTCAACCACAGCAACATGATGATAACACCAGCAACAGAGTGGTCACACTCATCATGGGTCGTCGTACGATTTTGATGCCATACATGTAGAAGTGTCAAGCAAGTCGTGACTAAACCAACCACTGGTAAGGACCTAAGATAGCATTTTCCGTCATGGCTGAATTTTGCAGGGCACACTCATGATTGTTTCGAGAATGCCCTCATTTTGTTATCGTACGACGAACATACGATGTTTGTGACCGAGCCCTATAGGATTTATTCTACATTTACATAGTGCAGGAGCAGCAGCAAAGACACCCTGCAGTTAAAGTCCAGCCACATGATTCCCCTGAAAGAATGAAATGTCTGTCAGCAAGGGAGTAAAGATGTCAATCACGGCATTGTGTGTGTGTGTAGCCTGACTTCATCATGCTTCTAGCAGCCCTAAAATCCACTGATCGGGCCCCTAGAAGCTGAATGTTCAACACCTCTCTGTCAGAAGACTTGGGAACATCTTAAGGCCACACCAATTTAATTTCTTGGTTAACAGATTTTTCTAGAAAAATAATGGAGCGGGCGGGCGAAAACATAAAAAATAAAAACAGGCCTAGGCATCTTATTATGGCCCAAAATGGTACGATAGGAGTCAACACACCAGGCTGGTTCAAAATTTAAACAATGAATTTTGAACTTTTAATGAATCCAATTGCATTGAAAGATGGAATAACTGTAACAACTAAGGATGAAAAGGACTGTTTTCAACTGTTCAGGGCAAAATATGAGCATTTTGCAGTTGTTTCAGAATTTTTATTTTTATTTGCAAATCAGAAAAAAATGAAGCGGGCGAATCCGTTAACTAAGAAATTAACTTGGTGTGGCCTTATGGCCACAATCTTTTGTGCGGGAGGTTCAGTCAGCCTGCAGAGAGTGTGTGACAGTCAGGCAGGGTGTGTGTATAATATAGTGTGTGAAAACTAATGACCAGCACCTGTCCCCCCCAGCCTTCTCCATTCAGCCCATCGTAAGGTGGTGGCTGGAATCCCTGCAATAATACAAGTTTTCTTACATCAGTAAAGAATATTCATACTGTATAATTATATTATTCATATAACGGCGGGTCCCATAACTTCGAACGTAAATTTGCCACTTTGGTGTTAGTAGCATTACATCAGTGTCGGGAATATGAAAACAGTTGCGTTTTGACAAATGATATAATATGACAATATCGGAGTTTGGATGTTTTCTGCTGTGGAGATTAATTTATATCGTCCGTGTACAATTGGTAGAGTGCTCGCTTTGTAACCGGGAGGTCGTGAGTTCAAACCCCGGCCGGGTCATACCAAAGACTTTAAAAATGGTACACAGTCATGATCACTTCTTTCTCTGCTTAGCACTCAGCACATATGAGACTTTGTGTGGGAAGGTCAAACACACAGCACTACCAGCGGACCAGCCCCCTGCTGTAGTGCCCTGCACAACTGTGTGTCGCCCAAGGGCTACAGAAATGGACATGGGCACCAAAACCCTATGCTCTGCATAGAGCACGGGTAGACCTTTACAATTTACAATGTGGATCTCGACAGACAATATCTCTATGCATGACCATGGGTTCTCAGTGTTTTTATTCAGCACAGTAAAGAAAAACAGAGTGGCTCTCTTCTGCATGATGAGACAAGCTAAAACTCGTTCGAAGTTATGGTACTGTCGGAGTTATGGGACCCGCCGTTAGAACTGTTCAGTCATAGCGGAAGCTGTAGGGCTAATACCAATTAGCATTTACTCTGGTCAAAATTGAGTATACTTATAAAATATAACATTCACCAATACATTTCACCTGCGGCTACCTAAGCCACTTAAAAATGCAAGGAAATACTGCTCTTGAAGGAATACAAGTTAGAGAGAAAGTCTCCACAGTATGCTACAATACTGTTACAGTACTAGTGAAAAAAATGTAACTAAGAAGATGCATCATTTTATCTGTTGGTATTTCAACTCCTTGAAGTTTAAGGCACCTTATGCCATACAACAATGCTAAAATGATAATTATGTAAATTTAAGACAGAAAAATTGAAAACCCGTAAAGTGCCATGCAAGCATAGGCTGCCGTAAATTATTACTAATAGGCACCTTTCCTGGGCCCTTATTGTATCCTTGGGGACCATACACTCCATCAGGATCATAACCGCCAATGGGACGTTGATGATCCTAAGATAGCACCATGGAAAGGATTACTTGGAGGTTCCAACTGGTAATAAAGCACTGAAAACGACCTCTGAAGGATAACACCAATTTCTATTTGCTTTTGTGATTAATAAAACTGGATAAAACAAAATATAATGATTAACAAAAAGTAAGACGTTAGTGACAATAGCAATATCACTGGTCAGTACATGTATACCTGGAAATGGTTGTCATTTCATCCAGGATAACTCTTAAAGAGATGTTATTAGGCCACACTAATTTAATTTCTTGGTTAACGGATTTTTCTAGAACAATAATGGAGCAGAGGGGCGAAAAAAAAAATAAAAAAAAAAACAGCCCTATTATGGCCCAAAATGGTATGACAGGAGCCATGAAGTGGCTGGTTCAAAATCTAAACAATGAATTTTGTACTTTTCTGATACCACTGCATCGAAAGATGGAATAACTGTAACAACTAGGAAGAAAAGGACTGTTTTCAACTGTTCAGGGCAAAATATGAGCATTTTGCAGTTGATTCTGAATTTTTATTTTTATTTGCAAATCAGAAAAAAATGAAGCGGGTGAATCCGTTAACCAAGAAATAAAATTGGTGTGGCCTTATGGGAAGGAATGGTCTTAATCTTGTCATCGATAACCCACCACCTTTAGTAATCCGAAATCTTACTGTAATTAGTAAAACATGAGCATGCATTGAGTTGAACATAATCTAAAAAGAAAACTAATCGGACATAACAGTTTTAGTCACACACAAGACGACATTTATGGGAATGGAAGAAACAGTTAGTTGAAAACTCTAGTTACCACATTGACTGTAATCTGTCCGCCATCTCCGGATCCACCAGGCTGTACAGTAGACACCCAATGTTAGAAGATGAGACACAAAAGCATGTCGGCAGAACGTACTGCGCCTGCACAGAACCCCGTATTTTCATGTTTTTCGTTGGGTTTTTGGTCAACGTTGCATCAGAATTTTGCCTGTTGCAGAGGATATTCTTTCCGACATAACATTTGGAAACTACTGTCGAAATGCTAACCTTATATGAGCGAATACAACCTTATATGAGACATTCTGCCGAAATGCTATGTACAATATATTATGGGTTTCGCGCAGGTGCAGTACGTTCTGCTGACGTGCTAAACAAAAAGGAGTGGAGACACGGATTTGTTAGTTATGAACAAAACAGGGTAAAACACCAACTTATTAACACAGACACTTGATTTTGACCATGATAACAAGAATGCCAATCACATAATTGTATAATGGTATTGTAACAGACAAAACAGAGGACATGAGACAATGAAACCTGTAGGAATTTTTGATAACAAATAGAATATCAAAAAGAATTATAACATATTAGAGGATACTATAGGATTGACACGGTGTACAAAGTACTTTGTGTCACTGAAGGGTGATGCAGAATACTTGAGTTGTGTACTTTTTATGTCAAGAAAAAAAGAGAGAATTTGGTATCCTCATACAAAAAAATTCTGAATCTGATATTTGAATTTTTTTATATCAGTGTACGAAGTATTCTATGAAGGTCCATGTGATAGTGTTAAAAACATATCAGTCTGGAACTCCTGTATTGAACATTACCATGTAATACAAGACATAAGAAGAAACATCATAATTGGCACATTTAGAAGCAATCAGTATATAATATGGTAATTCTAATAGATTGGCATACCACATACATTTGTACATGTACAATGACATACATGTGACACTTACCCTTGCATTCTTCAGCTTGTCACACAACACCCGCTCTTCCCTCTTCACGTTCTCAAAGTGCTGCCTGTGATCCTTGGCAGGTCCCACCAGGGACATCTCATCCACGCTGTACTGTACCAGTTCCTTGCTGTAGTTTTCCATGTCGCTCACGTGCCTCTCCGCGGTCGGTAGGAAGCCCTCAGGCTCCCTGTGGTACAGGCCCTGAGAATGACACATATGTAACGGTTATGACTTGTGTAACTACCGTAATATGAAGAACTTTATTGCACAACAATTGCACATGGTACAATGTATGGCAAACTACATAAAGAGAGTAACAAACAATAAAATATGTAGTTGAACAAGACCTAATGTCGAATAAAACCTAACAAATCTATACCATAATTATTCAAATAATAAGGGATAGCAGACGTCTTTGATAAAGTGTAACAATCGAGCGGGCTAATCACAAGTTTCGGATTTTTTCTAATAACAAAGCATTCCTTTATATATCTACCTATTTTTGCGTTGTGGGGACCATTACATGTAAAGATATATTCAAATCTGTCTCTAACATCGAGACTCTTGAAATCTATTGTACTTGATTCGAGAAATGTAAATAGCTTGTTACACGTACGTATAACATCATATTTGGTACATTCCATAACAAAATGAAATTCATTTTCCCATGGATGAGGAGAAATCCTTTAACCAAAGACCATGAAAGGTTAGCCACAAGTTGTTACGTCCCAGAAGCTAGCCTTATACTTTCATGAGCCTCTGTCAATAAGTTTCTATGTGTATGATAAAAGTACAAGTCATGTATATAAAAGTATGATAATGGTGCATCTAGAGATCTAGACTGCAGTACCTCATGGGTGTTCCAGAGGTCCTCCCTGTCCACCGACGGGTTTGCCAACAACTCCAGTTCCCTGTTTGATTCTTTCTCCAGCTTGTTTATGGTCTCATCATATAGGTCCTGGGATTTACGGAACTTCAGCTTCATCAGGGCAATAGGTGCTTGGTACATCACATCCTGGGTAGGGAACAATTCATTCATTCTTTATTTCAGGTAAAAACCCATATAACACATGTACAGTACATCATTGAAATAATACAAAAACTGTACAGACATACAAATAAAACAGGAAGAAACCTAGAAGCATAATAAATTGTAGGTCTTCCGGAAGAATGAATTCCTGTAAAAGGCATCGGAACTTATTAAGCGACTGATTGTTGCGTTGTTGGAGGAAAATAATCTTTTTAGAAAAGAATAACAAATCCAGTCCTCCTCCTGGTTTCAAATGTGTCAATATAGTGATAGACAAACATTTCACTCGCACTACATCGCCAAGGTAAATTCATAATGATTCTAAAACAATTGTTGTAAGCAACTCGGCATTTAGACAGAACACCTGAGCTAACAGAGCTCCATAACTGAGTGCCATATAGCTGGGCGCAATACGTCATGAACAGGTGTCTGAGGGATGACTGCATGTGCAAGATGTTGGTTAGCTGAGGAATGAATTCCCTCGAATTCACAGGGCCCCCATGGATGAGTTTCTTTACCTTCCACTTGTTTTCAATCTTGCCCATCTGGTCCTGCAGCTGCTCCTTCTCTGGGTCATTCATGTCCTCGGCCAGTCTCTCTCCACTCTGCACCAGTCCCTCCATCATGTCTGAGTCCACGTCTTTGAAGAATGTCTACGGGGGGCAAATAGGCAGCCCAACTTCAATGTTAATGTGATGTTTTAGGTAACATCCGTGTCCATAATATCACCAGGGTCCATAATATCGCCACCTTGAGAAATAGTGTGCTTAAAGATATTTTTACTGCAACATACTTTTGGTATGCACTCCTTCACACATCAAATGTACATACCTAGGGTTTGTTGCAGTAAAAATATCTTTAAGCACACTGTTTCTCAAGGTGGCAATATTATGGACCCTGGTGATATTATGGACACGGATGTTACATGTATTTTCTTCTCAAATGTTAACTTCAAGAGCGGGGTCACATTCGTCATAGGTCATTGTATGATAATATTGACGTTGTAGGATTTTCAAGCAGTGAGGTTAAGAACTGCTTGGTCAAGCAGTCTGCGTGAGAACTTATTGAATGCCCCTTGTAGATCACAAAAGTACAATCATAATACAATGATAACACATAAATGTACACATGCAAACAAAGCAAAAAAAATGCTTTGAAACAAGAAAAGCTACGGTAACCGTAAAATGAATGAAGCAAAACACACACACACACACACACAATTCATTATAGTAGGGTGTATAAAGCAAGATGACAAATAAAGATGTGATGCAAGCCATTTCTTACGATACATAGTAATTTTTCTGTTTCAGATGATTCTACCTTTTCTCTCACTGGTATATTGACAGCATCAAAGTTAATACTGGGTTGGTTCTCCCATAAAAGCTGACAGTACCGATGTCTGAGGGGCGGATCAGCTAGCTGGATCATACTCACCACCAACATCTTGGATCCAGGTAAGCAGTTAGAGAGGAGGGAAGAAGATGACATACAGGCTCACAGAACATGGAATGTGTGATGATTGTGTTGGAATGAATAAGTTATGGAGTAGCCTGCATTGGATGCCAGCATTTTTAGTTTTAGTGCCCTTTTTCAGATGCTTCAGTGCACAATATTATTCTATCTGTCTGTCATTATTTTGATTAACTGTTCAGAATTTGAACAGGCAAGAAGATTGGCAAAGCGCTTAGTGGCGGTTTGGGTCCTTGGGGTCATCCAATCACCAGAGGTCCTTTTGGTAGGGAAGCCACCAAGAGTGTGTCCATAAGGCCACACCAATTTAATTTGTTGTTTTGCGGATTCACCCTGTCCATTTTTTGTCTGATTTGCAAAAAAAAATTTGGAGGTCCTACAATGTACTAAACTGCAAAATGCTCAATGAAAGACATATTTTGGCCCCAACAGTTGAAAAAAGTCCTTTTCTTCCCAGTTGTTAGATTTTCAATCTAACAGTGCAATTTTGTTTCATTAAAAGTTGAAAATCTATAAACTAGCCTGGTATGTTCACTTCATGGCTCATATTGTTAGTAGTAACATTTCCGGCTATCATGGGGTGCATGCCTTGGCCTGTTTTTTTTTTTATTTTTTTTTATTTCGCCCTATCACTCCATTTTTTTTTTTAATCCGAGAAACAACAAATTAAATTGGTGTGGCCTAAACTGAAAATGCTGGCATCTGCAGCTGGCTAGTGTATTGTGCAAATCTGTTAGCATGTAATTTACGTAGTCCATGACAAGAAGAGGGAGGGCACATAGCTCTTTTGATGAGGACATTGACATTATAACTTGGTGCTGAACAATGCATCCTAAAATGGATCAAAACAGCCTATCTTACCTCATGGCGAGCGATCTGGATGTCCAGCGGCTGGTCGCGGTCTGTCATGATGTCGTTAGCCTTGTCCAACCAGGACCCCACGTCATCCGTGCGCTTATCAAAGTCCCTCCAGTTCTCCTGGATATCGTCCAGTTTGTCGTCCCAGGTCAAAGACAGGGCCATGCCATCCTGAGGGAAGCACAGTGAATCGTTATGAATACTGATACATGCAGGGATGATGAGTATCCCTATTTTTTTTCAATACAACACACAACCAAAGGGATGGTCTCTGGGAAACTTTCATCAGGCCTAGTAAGACCATTGTTGTAAACATGCCCTAAGGCCACACCAATTTAATTTCTTGGTTAATGGATTCCCCCGCTTCATTTTTTTCTGATTTGCAAATTTAAAAAAATTCAGAATCAACAGTACTGCAAAATGCTCATATTTTGCCCTGAACAGTTGAAAACAGTGACCTTTTCTTCCTAGTTGTTACAGTTATTCCATCTTTCAATGCAATGATATCATTAAAAGTTCAAAATTCACTGTTTAAATTTTGAACCAGCCTGGTGTGTTGACTTCATGGCTCCTATCAATGCCATTTTGGGCCATAATAGGATGCCTAGGCCTGTTTTTATCTTTTATTTTTCGCCCGCCCGCTCCATTATTTTTCTAGAAAAATCCGTTAACCAAGAAATTAAATTGGTGTGGCCTAAGTTGGTTACATTTAGATGCAAAGGCAAGTAAACACACAGTCAAAAACAGTCACCCAAAACAAAACCTCTGAGTACCTGGAGGTAAAAAAATGCATAAAACATAATTTGAACTTCAACCCACCTCAAACCTGGAGTCGATGTCTTCAAAACGAGTCTGCAGGGGTGTCTTGTCATGGTTGTGCAGGCACAGACCCTCGATCTTTTTCAGGTCACTGTTACAGCTGCTCAGTTTGTTGCGCATGAGGTTCCTGGTGGTAAAGAACTCCTGGTGCACAGAGAAATTAACATGAGTTAGTTTAATAGAATTATATACATTGTACAATATTTACATAGCACATAAAGTGTTCACAAAGAACATTTTGACAATTTGTGTCATGGGGTAATTTGTAGTGTAAAAGACCTCAGCTGTGAAGCCACTGCCTTCAGATTTTGTTTGCCCATTCAGCAAACCACATCAAATCCTGACTGACTCTTGGATTGACATTGAAAGTCAATGCTAACTCCTCTGGCAAATCATTCAGCCTCTTTGGCCACGTTCTATTTTTCAGTAACTCTACAATGTAGTTCTAGTGGAAATACAATTTCAGTACTACAGTAGTTTATACTGTACTTTATATCATACCCGTTCAATAACGGGTTCCGGACCGGGCCGAACTTTATGGTACGGCCCAGGCTCCATGGCTTCTGCGCCGCTTTCGAATATTCCAATACAGAATCCGAGCGTTGGAACTGATGTTGTTGCATTTGAGGATTCAGGGGCACCAACTTTTGGCTCATCTTGCATTGAAAGACGCGTTTTCTTGGGTGGTTATGACATAAATAAAATACAACACGGTGTATTCCGCATCGCCCTCGGTCCCGGCCCTCCCGCGAGTCGGATCGCCCTCCGGCCTGCGGGCAATCCTCGGGCCGATACCTCGGGTGATACGGAATACCCCGTGTTGTATTCTATATATTAATTATACAGTCCTGACCTTGTGGTTTTGCACCCTCTGGTTGAACTTGGCTGAGGTTGAATCGACCATGTGTGACATCATCAGCTTCTCAGCATCAGACAGCCAGTTGTCGATTTCGGCCGTGTCGTCCTCAAATCGCTTCACGTATGGAAGCATCCGGGTGCAGTTGTTCTTTTCCTTGGAGACATCATTTCGGATCTGCATGTCGATAAACAGGGTTGAATACAAGTAACATTTTCACAAGGGTTTAATGAACTTAACACACATATCTTATGGCATTCGCTTACACGGGTGCAAGGCACTTCAATAGACTACCAGCAGAAGTAAGGCAGATTCCAACTTTAAAACACTTCAAGGCAGCTATTAAGATGACCTCTGACCTCCAATGATATTGAACGGAAATCGAATACGTTGATTATGATTACATTGTATGTTTTGAAGTTATGATTCTTGTAAATTTCCTCAGTTCATGTTCGTATTATTCATTTATTTCAGTTATACTGATTTCATTTACATTTTTTGTTAATATGTACTTTGTATAATCTATTATTCTTTTACATATTGTATTCCCCCTGGGCCTCCTTGGAAATCAGCTATTGGCTGAAGGAGCTACCCACAGGTGTCATTGAAGATTAAATAAATAAATGGCATACACATTGCCAACAAATTCTTTCGAAAACAAGAATTCAAATCTGATTTTTCAAACTTTCTGGAAGTATTTTGTTTTTTTCTGAATGTATTGGAACTGTGTACTCAAGGGGATGTATGATGTCAATTAATGGGTATTACACAATCCTGAATTCCTCCATATTACTCCCACTAAGTTCCTGATAGGTCAGGCTTGACCTTCCTATCAATCATGATAATATAATAAAAAATATAGTATATTATGCCAAAATAAGCTCCCTCAAAGAAAACAAGAGACAAACCCACAACTTAACAACCCAAAACAATACTTGCATACCAGTCCTGTATTACTAAGTAAAGAGCACCCTTTAGTTAAGTAAGTATTCATCCACTTATTATTATAATTAATTCAAAAGAGGTTCAGACATAATCCATGTACCAAGTCTCAAACATTACTACTAATTCAGTCACCATATTTGATTGAATTAGGCCTGTATCTTATATTTAATGATATTTATCTTCCTGTACCTAATAAGCATAAAAAAAGGCATGTTAACATGGCATTTTCAATACCCAAAGTACATGTACATCATCTATTTGAAAGAAATTCTATTGAAATGCAACTGCTACTGAAGAGGAAAGGTTTGCTTTAAAATTCATAGAAGACAGCACGTCGGCAGAACGTACTGCACCTGCGCAGAACCCTGGATTTTCGCGGTTTTCGTTGGATGTTTGGTCACTGTTGCATCAGAATTTTGCCTGTTGCAGAGGAAATTTTTTCTAACACAACATTTGGGAACTACAGGTGGGATGTTAACCTCATATGTGCAAATACAACCTTATATGAGACGTTCTGCCGAAGTGCTATGTACAATACATTACGGGTTTCACGCAGGTGCAGTACGTTCTGCCGACGTGCTATTATTATATAGAAGACCTACTCTGGTGATCTCTTCCTGAACATCGTTCAGATCACTCCTGGCAGCGGCTGCCTCGTCCCCAGACATGGATCCAACCTGCCGACTCAAGACCTGCAGCTTGTCCTCCTGCTTCCCTGCCTCTGTGTCAAGTGTCTGACAGAAAAATGGACAATGTTTTCGTCAGTGTTGACGTCACACTTCAAAGAAGCCACGTGACAAGCTTCACTGGGTCAGTCTACTGAGGAAGACCAGAGTGACTGGTCGAAAGCTCTAGGTAAGAGAATTTTTTGTGTTGGAACAAAAGTTTTAACTTTAAAAGTGTTTTCAACTGTTTACATCTTTTGGCAATTACAATTTAAAGCATGTATTTTCCCCCATTTTTCTCCATCTTCAACTTGTTTGAGCTTGGTCCTTTTCTATTGTTAAATGGGAGGCAGCCGCAAATATTCTACAAAACATATTGTGCAAGAGAAAGCTACTTTTTAAAGACTTACATGTAGTTATGGAATTTTCATGACATTTCATTTAAAAAAAATTATCATATTATATACTACTTTTATTATTATTATTTCAGATCAATCTGTTTTATTTATACAGGGTAGAGACCTCAGTGCTATTTAAAAACACTGCTTTTCAGGAATGCCCTGTACATGACATTCAACAAGTTACACATGAAAACAATGAAACCAACACATTAAACAATATATAAAGTTACAAAACAACCAAGCGTCAAAACAAAATCGTTAACCGTAAACTACTCACTTCCAAGTCCTCGATGTGCTCTTGTACATCCTGGTGGTAGACTATGATGTCCTTGGGATACTCCTTGTCCACATCTGCCAGCCAGCCACGGATGTTCCCCAGGCCACGGCTGTATTCATCTTTCCCCGGGCCTTCTCCACCTCCAGTCGAACCCTTGGCTGATCGCCGCCCAGCGTAGGATGGTAAGTTGATAGACTAAAAAGAACACAGTCGTCAAGTGATGATTTCTTGAGAGCTAAATTACAATTTGATTATCATTCATTTTGATTAACCATAGAAGTTCTCGATGTACAAAGTGATGCAGTACAATGATTATCGTAAATCTATGCATGTAGCTCAAGACCTGTTTTTTTTAAATCTGGCACAGTAAATTTATTCATTTTTGCTGGGACTTAACTTCAAAGTAGATCTGAAGCTTTTGCAATGTTTTAAGTTGAAAGAATTCAGATCTGTAGTGACTGTCACAGTTCTTTACAAATTTGTGCGGTGTCACAAATTTGGAGGCAAAGGAACATGAAAATAACACCAGGGTTACTACTAACATACTAACATTTCAAGATTTACAGGTAGCTGTTACTAGTACTCCTCAGCAATGGACCTATACCATTATTACGTCTTCAGTTTTTTTACCGCAATGAATGCCGGTCAATCAACCTTTATATTGTACAGGGGTGCGTAGCGCGGTGTGTGTTTGTGTAGCGTTAGCCTAATATACGGCTTTTAATACAGTACTACTTTCGTCTAATGTCACAACTAAATCACCCATGCGGCATGTAATGCTGTGTCAACACAACTAGACGCAGCAAAAAATCAGACATACCTTACTTTGAAAACTTTGAAATGATCTTTATTCTTTAACTGACCGTTGTAGAATGTTCTTTAGAACAGGTACACACTAACTGTGACGTAATAAAGTTGTATATATAGGTCCATTACTAGACAGTACTGGTGACACAGCGTCTTACCACACGAATCGGTGACATGTCTCCCTTATTGGCCATGACGACAGTGGGGGACGAGCCATCGTCCATCAGCGCAGAAGAGCGGACAGATGTAGACTGGGACTGTCCAGGACCCCTGCTGCTGTCAAACGTGAACATCTGATCTGAAGTCTGCTGCCTGTAGGACTGCTGCCCGTAGTCGACACCAACACCTCCCTTTGCGGTCTGCTGTGACGTCTGCTGCCCGTACTCGTAAGCTCCTCCCTTCACCGCCATGGCGTGGCTGGCGCTGGCAGACTGGGTCAAGTCTCCGGCCACATCTCCGTGCATGTCCTGCGCCGCTCCGTTCATCACTCCTGTGAACCGCTGGCCGGAGAAGGTTCCACCAGCTCCAACCTACAGTGGGAATGAAGGGATACGTACAGGTCACCTCATGACACTTCATGGTACAGGGTGCCACTGAGGGACAATTTGGTCAGGAGTTATGCATCAGTTGTACATAGCTTTTCCTGGGAATGTGAGATAAACTTTGGCATACACTGGCATGGAATTTCTCCAAATTTTAGAATCTGATTTAACATTTACTGCTGCTCCTACACGTATGTATTTAGATTTACTGATAAATTATGCTCTTGATGTTAATGAACATGAACTTCTTACAAATGGTGTCTTGCACCAGCTGTAGTCACCTGCCTACATTTTATGTGGGAAATGTCTTGTGGAAAACAGCAGGCACTAAAAGCAGTGCATACAGACTTTGATTTAAAAAGTAATAAAAATGCTTGTTACACTCAGTTACTAACAGCAAAGACTCTAACAGACAGAAATGCTGTACAATTAAATTATCTTCTACTTAGGCCACACCAATTTAATTTCTTGGTTAACCGATTTTTCTAGAAAAATAATGGAGCGGGCGGGCGAAAAAGAAATAAAAATAAAAACAGGCCTAGGCTTCCTATTATGGCCCAAAATGGTACGATAGGAGCCATGAAGTCAACACACCAGGCTGGTTCAAAATTTAAACAATGAATTTTGAACTTTTAATGATACCACTGCATTGAAAGATGGAATAACTGTAACAACTAGGAAGGAAAGGACTGTTTTCAACTGTTCAGGGCAAAATATGAGCATTTTGCAGTTGATTCTGAATTTTTATTTTTATTTGCAAATGAGAAAAAAATGAAGCGGGCGAATCCGTTAACCAAGAAATTAAATTGGTGTGGCCTTAGGCTTGAAATACTGATTCCTTCAGCAAAGCCAAATATTAAAGAACAGGTGTTAAAAGTCATTTTTGACATGTAAGAGCTTCCAACATCAAACAATGACCAACACCAATGCAAGACTTCGATGTGCTGACAGTTATAACCACAATTTCCTTATTCCATACATGCATGCAACCTGAATACAATACAGTTTCACACACTGTGCAGTAAAAGACAGCAAATAAGAAGACGGCAAGTGAAACCAAATTAAAACAGCTTCAGAAAAACAGCAGCAATGTTAAGTTCATTAAACCCATCACCTAACAGCAGCCATGCTCAAGAACTGTGATAGCAAGAGTTGTGACATTAATGAAGTATGATAGCCTCCTTCACAGTCTTGTTAGGCTTGGGCGTTATTTTTGTGAGCGACGCGAGTAATATGCGGCCGCGAGGGACGATTTGCTGCCGAGGGAGTTTTTGCCGCGGAGAGAAGGTTTCGCGCTCTAACAAGACTGCTTCCAGTCGGCGACTAAAAAGGGCCTTGGAGCGCAAAACCTTCTCTTTGCGGCAAAAACTCCCTCGACAGCAAATCGTCCCTTGCGGCCGCATATTACTCGCGTCACTCACAAAAATAACGCCCACGCCCAACAGGACTACCAAGGAGGCTAGAAGTATGACACGTGTTGGAGGATTGGACATTAAATATCATCATGCAGAAAGTGAGTGAGGAGTCTTTTCATATATAAAGGACCCAGGATGTCAAACTCCGTCATTTAAGTTTGAAAATTTGTTACCTCGTTCATCACATCATCGTAGAGGGAATCGGACGTAACCTGGGGACACGAGGAATCACATTAACCAAAGTTGGGAAGGACACACACAAGGATCCCTCCAATTTTGTGTTCTGTACAGTATGTTAAGCTACGGTCACAACCCGCCGTACGTGCTCTTTGTCCGTACATTTTTTGGGAGGCTACGTCTGCTACGTTTTTTCTGAAAACGTGGAGAAGGGGTGGCGTCGAGGCACGTCACTCGCACGTCACTTGCACGGTTGTGCAAGGTGTAAGAGTGTGGTCTGCACGCCATGTCTGGCCGTGAGCGGTTGCATGCATCGTATGTTGCGCAACTGGTAAGTGAGTTGTACGTGCTTACAACGTACAATCTCTGTGCGATTGCAACTTTACCGTAAGGAGGCCGTACTCACACGTGGTTCTTCTACGGCGTGTCTGCGTGCTCCAAAATCCGTAGGATTCCGTAAGGAGGTGGTACTCACCACGCACGGATGCCCTGCGTTTGCCCACGTTTTTGCACGTAGACAGCACGCAGAAGCACGTACGGCGGGTTGTGACCGAGGCTTTATACAGGACTGGTCAATTTCAGACCAAGGACAATTTATGATGCAGTGACTTTTTTTTACTTCTTCATGATCAGGGGAGGTGTCAGGTATTACATGTATTACAATGCACACATCTTAGGCCACACCAATTTAATTTCTTGGTTAACGGATTTTTCTAGAAAAACAATGGAGCGGGCGGGCAAAAAAAAATAAATAAATAAAAACAGGCCTAGGCATCCTATTATGGCCCAAAATGGTACTATAGGAGCCATGAAGTTAACACACCAGGCTGGTTCAAAATTCAAACAATGAATTTTGAACTTTTAATGATACCACTGCATTGAAAGATGGAATAACTGTAACAACTAGGAAGAAAAGGACTGTTTTCAACTGTTCAGGGCAAAATATGAGCATTTTGCAGTTGATTCTGAATTTTTATTTTTATTAATTTTGCTAATCAGAAAAAAATGAAGCGGGCGAATCTGTTAACCAAGAAATCAAATTGGTGTGGCCTTAAAGACTGAAATACTGTGAAAGAAAGTGAGTGAGGAAAACATCATAACATGCAACATAACATGTTACACTACAACACAAGGCAAACAAGGCTCCTAACTCTAAAGTCAATTGCAACCTTTGCCACTTATCATGAATAAACAAAGGTTCAAACAAATGAAGAAACAAACAAAAGAAATGTGACCACACTTTAAGAAAATTTAATTACCATAATTTTTTTCTTGTTAATCATCATGCAAAGAGCCTCTAAAACATTCTCCTTACTGTTCTTATTTTTATGTCAATGAACAAAAATTATACTTAGTATGATCATTATCTACATGTAACGTCTGTGTCCATAATATCATCAGGGTCCAAAATATCACCACCTTGAGAAACAGTGTGCTTAAAGATATTTTTACTGCAACATACTTTTGGTATGCACTCCTTCACACATCAAATGTACATACCTAGGGTATGTTGCAGTAAAAATATATTTAAGCATGCACACTTTCTAAAGGTGGCGATATTATGGACCCTGGTTATATTATGGACACAGATGTTATATAAGTTCTGCGTAACATGTACAGTGTGACACAGTTTGGTGTTCTTACATCGCTGGTCCTGTAGCTGTCCTCTGTAACCAGCTGGGCGTTCTGCTCGTAGCTGGACAGCTGTGTGTTCTGCTCGTAGGTCGTCACCTCAGTGGTCTTGACAGACTGAAACTCCGTGACGGACACCGACGGGACCTCGCCAGCGCCGACGCCGGAGATGTACTGCCCGCCGCCGCTGCTGGTGGAGTTATACGCCCCCCGGGCGCTGCCTGCACGCCGGAACGACGAGGTGTTGCCACTGCCAAGTCCAAGGTAACGCACATCCTGGGGCGAGAAAGGGTTTATCAGTTCACCTGATCCAGCAGACTTACACAAGATCTGTCACCTCCAGAGTAGCCGCTGAGTTATCATATATTGTACAATGCACCTACATGACTGTACAATGTTTTTTCACAAGGGTGTAACCTTCTTTTTGTTTAGGAGGAGTTATGAATGAAGACCTTTATTGTACGCATATACAAAATGTATTCACTGTCAACTGTAACCCTCACTTAGTTGTAGGGACTGACAGGGTCATCCTACTCGGAAAGTCTATATCTGTATATCTGTACATGAATCTGTATCTGTGCATTACTACACTGTATGTATCTGTACATGAATGAGGGCCTGCAAGGGGGGCCCGACAATGCTCTACGCTGAATTCGGAAACCTCTCAATTACGCTTTACGATAAATTCCAAGTGGCTACAACGCATTACGGAGAATTAAAACGGCAAATACGCTCTACGCAAAAATATTGAACAGCCGATTACACTCTACGGAAAAGGGCTTGCGGGCCCCCTGGGCCATGAATCTGTATCAGATTGCAAATAAAGATCAGGAGTGATTGCCATTAGATATCCACTGGGTTATAAGTATAGGTCACAACAGAATGCTTGCTACATTGTGTATATTGTACTGAGACTTACCCTTTGTGATGGGGTGGGGGCAGTCCATCCACCAGCTTGTGGGAAGGCTTGAGCATACAGGGACACGTACGTCATCACACTCCTGCCATCAGGCCTCTCCACATCCATGTCTGAAATTTCAGGAGGAAACAAAATGGTATTGCACAATGCATGATGCTCAATGAAAATAAAAATAAAAACTATTTTTTATTAGGTTAGGCTACACCAATTTAATTTGTTGTTTCCTCAGATTTTTTCAGAAAAATATGGAGCGACAGGGCAAAAAAAAACAGGCCAAGGCACGGAAGCCGGAAATGATACAATATGAGCCATGAAGTCAACATACCAGGCTGATTTATAATTAAAACAATAGATTTTGAACTTTTAATGAAACAAAATTGCATTGTTACATTGAAAAGCTTTAACAACTAGGAAGAAAAGGACTTTCTTCAATTTGGGGCCAAAATATGTCTTTCATTTTAAGCATTTTGCAGTTGATTTAGGACCAAATTTTTTTTTCTTTTTTTGCAAATCAGAAAAAAAGGACAGGGCAAATCTGAGAAACAACAAATTAAATTGGCGTGGCCTTATACTAATTCAATGAAGTACATTAGGTACGGAATCCTTTTAGAACTTGAGAGTACCGGGAGTAAGTATAGTTGTGTACATAAACATGACAATGCACCAGGAAGAAGTCAGTACTAACTTTAAATTTTGTTGTCACTTTTGACTTTAATATATTAAACGTTACCATTCTTTTTCACTGACCTTTATCTATAGATTTCAGCATAACATAATGTATGGTAGAATTATCAGATGTAACAGTATGGAATTAATGCATCAAAGATACATGCCCCTTGCTACAATTGCAAGGTCAAATGTATACTCCCCCCCCTTTGCACAAAAGGTACATGTACAAAGGTCATAAATTCCTGGCCTTTGTGAACGGTTTCAGGACAGTTTAGCAATGTGAGGAAGCAGAAAATCATATTGACAATAGAATTGTTAGATTTCATAGAATTAGAATGGATTTTCACAGCATCAGAATGGAAGAATCAAAGAGTTAATTGAACAAAACTAGAGACAAGCAAGGACACATCTGTGGGGTCAGGAAGGTCAAACCATACACAATAGACCCACAGTTGTGATGACATCATTATGGAGGGAACTGGTTGGATGGGTAACTGTCTGTGCACTGAGTGAGACTAAAATGTTCTTTGTAGTATAGGAGCATAGGTGTGTACATGTACATGTAATGCTGTATCAGTACATTGTCAACGGTATCAGTCTTAGGCCAGACCAATTAAATTTCTTGGTTAACGGATTCGCCCGCTTCATTTTTTTCTGATTTGCAAATAAAAATAAAAATTCAGAATCAACTGCAAAATGCTCATATATTTTGCCCTGAACAGTTGAAAACAGTCCTTTCCTAGTTTTTACAGTTATTCCATATTTCAATGCAGTGGTATCATTAAAAGTTCAAAATTCATTGCTTACATTTTGAACCAGCCTGGTGTGTTGACTTCATGTCTCCTATCGTAACCATTTTGGGCCATAATAGGATGCCTAGGCCTGTTTTTATTTTTTATTTTCGCCCGCCCGCTCCATTATTTTTCTACAAAAATCCGTTAACCAAGAAATTAAATTGGTGTGGCCTTATCACAGAATATATCCTGTATTGTTCTTGATATTTTTCCCATGACCATGGGCTGCATTCCTACATGTATTATGTGAGAATGTTTGAATCTGAATAAGGCTACAGCAAGTAAATTCTATGGATGACATCCACACTTGCATTGATTATCACATGATTTTGAAAAAAAAAAAAATTTAATTGACTTTTCAGTCAACAATACTGTAATTCTTGATTTTTTCACAGTACTGTTATGTTCACTGTTTTCACTGTCACTTCTGTATCATGAACTTATTATTACAGTTAACAAATAATTCCTGGACTTTCTTTTTCCTGCACCTGTCGCCACCATGAAAAATATAATTCCATGAACTTGTCCACTTTTCTCAGACAGTGAAATTATGCTACCGTGAACGTTCGAACATAAAGTGAATTACAGCACTGAGAAATGAGTCTCACCTTCTGAGTCGATGAGTTTGGGGATTCCCAGGAACCTCTCGGCTGCAGTGAAGGCGTGCTCCATGCGCGAGGAGGCACTCTTGGTGGAGAGGCGGGGCATGTCCACCAGGTCTGGCTGGATGGTGTGCACCAGGGAACTGAACGCCTTACCGTTCCGCCAGCTCTTACTGAAGTCCTTCACATCAACGACACGTCTGAAATTTGACAGAAATATCATTAAGAAATTACAGTAACCCTGCTGGACTGCCGTCTGTTGCTTTAATTTGTCCCAGTACAATCTCCATAGCTCTGTCCTTGGTGCTGAACACTAACAGATTTGATTTGATTTGATTTATTAGGCTGACACCTTTTGGTTTATACATGTAATCTATCAGATGACTAACATCAGAGTTTGAGTAAAAAATCAAAAATTATAATCTCAATCAACTTATTGTTGCTGGCATTGCAGATTATTTCCGTGGGGTCACGGCGGTCTGTCACTACGGCATTCTTTCCCATTGCTATGCGCGTTCGAAAAGGTATCGGGTTACAAGACGCTATTTTGGCCTGTTTTGGACTACCCGTAAAATATTTGAAAATAAACAAATAATATTTAGGGGTAAATTTCGTCAAATTAAAATGAAATTATCGTCATAACATCCTTTAAATGTTAGCTTTTTATGTTTAATCACTGATTTTTTAAAATTTCGCTCAGAAAGACGATTATTTTCGGGTTTCTGAGCACTAGTCATGTCACGTTTTTAGGCAAACATCGTTCAAACCTGGCTACGTATATTACCCCAGATCCCCGATTTTTATATTTTTCGCAGACTAGGAATATGAATAAAAAATCGTGTTTTAGGGATTTTTTAATTTCTGTATTTTAAGTCTTAGTTTTTGTTCGACATATTGGTGAAAAAATGACATTTTTTGACATTTTTCTCACTAAATTACCCATAATTCAAAATTGAGGCCATTTTTCAAAAATCCCTAAAACACGATTTTCGGGACAACCGTTACGGTCATTTTGAGCCGTAAATGGGGTATGTTTGACTCTCCATGTTTCCAGGTTTGAACGAGTTTTGGAGACATGTCATATCGCCAGAAAGTGTGCATTGTGTTATTCATACTTGCGTAAAGAATCATTACAGTATTCAAGGTCACCCAAGGATACGACAGTAGCTTCGCTACATGTTACATGTCCACAAAAAAATGATAGCGGACATGTATTGTCCAGGAAACTGTTTGTATCTATAGAAAAGTGTTGTTTTTTATCTGTTGCACGGCACGGAGGCAGAAAGGCTTGTTTTGCCGCTTTATAGTAAATGACCGCAGGTGACCCCGAAATAGAACGCGGGTTCGATTCGAATTGCCCAGATCGAACACCATCGAACACAGTTCGGATTCTATGACATGTGGGAACTTTGCAGCCCAGATTTTACCACCGTGGGTCTCATGGATGTCATAGAGAATTTAAAAAAATATTTAGGCCTAGGAAAAATGTGATTTAAATTTCCTGCCCAACCCTAGCCAAAATCTTCTGACCCTAGCCAATTTTTTTATGGACTGCTGGTAAGGCTATAGAATATTTGATCTGGCATCTGAATTCCCAACCCTCTGAATAGCTGAAATGTCTAAACTCAGAACATTCTGAAACAAGAAACACAACATTAATTTTCCTCTAGCAGGCTTTAGTTTACATGTACATGTAGGTCTTCTATATCGTCATCAATGGTCAGCTTTCACAAGTTAGTCAGGGGGAGTTCGGGGGGTTTGGATGAACCCCCCCACACAGCTGAAAGGTCCACTTTTTGGTCCACTTTTTATCTAAAGGTCCAAGATTTTTCTTTAAAAGATGGACTGATTCGTGTCACCAGCGGGGTTGGAATCGTAGAAAAACGGCTTACTTTGTCATTTAAAAAAGTTATCTCTGATTTTTTCTTTGAAATCCTCTAAAAATGCAGGAAATGCCATTTCAGAAGGTTCATTTTTTTTTAATTTCATGGGGAGCATGCCCCTGGAACCCCCTAGGAACGGCGCTCGCTGGTCCCTCAAGCAGTCAGAAGAACCCCCCATTCAAAATCCTGGATACAGGCAAGTTGTAAGGCCAGATTTCTCACCGATCCACAGCGTTCTGCGCCCACTTGAGCAGGATCTTCTGAGCTTCCTTGGTCTCCTTGCCTGACTTCTTCCTGGTAGGCCCAGGACTCTGGTCACGACCCTTCTTCCTCTTCCCCAGTGAGGGCAGACTGGAGGAACTGCCGCTAAACCTGCAGGAGTTACAAACAGGCGTTTAACACAATACTATAGTTACTGTACTAAATGTGCCAGATATCCCACCAGAATGTTTTCGCTGCCAACTTAAAGATGACATCAGAGATGACAGTGAGAAGTCATTTTACAACAACAGCTTCTTTCCCTGGACTGCAAAATTATGAAACTCTCTTCCAAACAGATGCTTTCCGTCCGACTACAATCCACAAAGCTTCAAAACAAAGGTCCACCGCCATCTCCTGACATAACTACATTGTACATTATACTCACTTAAGTACCTCTAGCTCTATGCCTAGAAGTGGCCAAAAATAATTGGCCTTGCATTGAGCGACACCGTTAAAAAAAAGGTAATTTTTCACAGCAGACAACACAAAATTAATGTAGAAATTTTACAATCATCAGCTTTGATAAAAAAAAGTGTAAACTTTAAAACACAATGCTATTACCCAATGATTGTACAATTTTCAGAAGGTACCCCCCTCCCAGAAAGTTATTGAACTTCAAGATGTTCCTTACCCAAACTTGCCTCCCTTGGTGGGTGTGGTGGACTGTGAGCTGGTCCGAGGCATGGTACCATACATACTGTCTTCTGCCATGGACGCATTCAGACCACTCACTGTCCTACGGGACATTTTGGCCACCTCTTCAATCTAAGAAAACAAATTTTAAAGTGCATCAATGAAGGCTAGACATCGAGGTAGAACATTGCATAGTACAAGCTGTATCTAGTAACTGGATAAGGTTCTCAGTCACTGATGAAAGAAAGTGTGGTAACAAAAATTTATCCACTCAATTTCTTCATCTGTGTATAATGTACAACTTTTGATTTTATGAATGCCTGAATCAGGCATTTTAAAATGCATCACAGCTAAAAAGAAACATGATAGTTTTTTTTTTTTCAATCAAGATTACTATGATTCCTATAAGGCTGAGAGGATGCTTTCCTTTACAAGTCATGAGTCTCAGAGTACAACTTGATAATAGATACAGTCAAAAAGTGGTGACTAGTTCAAAAGTCATGCAGTTCATACCAAATATTGGTGAATGTGTTTTTGGAATAACTGATAGAAAATCTTTACAGATTACAATTATATTGTGGCAAAAAAAAAGGATGGATGTCTGACATACCTGGTAATGAGAGACGATAGCCCACATGAGATCCAAAATCTTGGGGGGAGTTCCATTGGTGATTTCCTGAGGGGTCACCCCAGCTGGGATCTTGACCTATCAGAAGAAATGGCAGGAAAAAATAGATTGTGGTAGAGCCAGTAAGATACAAACACAACACAAGAGGCACAGTCAAGAGCTGGTGTGTTACGCCTAAGGGCGGTTATACCGGCTATACAGATACAGAAGCTGGTGTGTTACGCCGAAGGGCGGCTATACCGGCTATACAGATACAGACAGAAGATGATCATTTGACCTTGACTTTGATATATGGAGGTATTGGTTTGTGTGTGTGTGTGTGTGTGTTTGTGTGTGTGTGTTTGCCTATATATATGTGTTTGTACAACATACAGTATTTGATTGATAGAGTGACAGAAGGGGGGTTGTAACTGTAGACTGACCTTAAGGTCAAGTTGACAGTTTGAATGGTCTCCCCACAGGCTAGGAGAAAGTGAGTCCACCCACAGTTACTGGGGGTATATCCACTTAGACTTAGGTATAGTCACAACAAGCTCAATGCCTGCAGGGTTTCTCTCGCCGGTCATTGAAAGTATGTCAGCTGTTTGATTGTGCCAAAATTTATAAAAACTCATATACAGATACATCCCAGAGGTTTGAAATCTCTGATCTCTTGTGTTGGAAATATGTTTTTCTGGAAGTCCAGAGTGCCATACAAGCAGTCTGGATAAAAAACAGCTTAATTTGCCCTCAAGAATCCATAGTGCTGAAATGCCTTCCAATGAACCTCTGGTAGTACAAGTCTTTTCTGAATTTTAACAGCTGGTGATAGCAACCAGATTTGTCAACAAGATCTACCGTATATAGACATTGTTGGTAGAACTGTCCTTTGTAAGGCAATATATGAAAGAATGTACAACCCCACCCTCAACAGGGAAGGGGGGCTACGGGTAGATCTTTCCAGCACTTGAAATTTTGGCACTCCCAGCCCCGAGGACAGACAAGACTTAAGCTCCTGTTCTGCATAACAGGAGCTTTCTGACTAATTTGCATTATCTTGTCTTGACTTGTCTGACTTTTGTTCCCTTTTTGACTTCCAAAAAATTGTCCTCACTTTATTCGCATATCAATCAATAGTTTGTGCTTATAAACCTGCATTTCTCCTCTGGTCTCTCAGTCACTGACGAAAGCTACATGTAGTGGATACTAGCTGAAACGTCTGACCATTTCCAAAATCATATCCAGTTGCTTGAGTAACTGCTTTTTGGGCAATCAATTCATTGCCTTGATTTTAAGACATATAAATTTAAGTAAAATTAGAGATTTTATACCTCTGTGAAATATTCTTGTGAGTTTTGTGAATTTCTCTATTTACATGTATTTTCCCACTGGAAGCCAGCCAACATACTCCATGCCAACTTAATTCCGATTGGCTCCTGGACATCTTCTTTCATATTCCAATTACTAACAGTATATTTTCTAAATCTACCAAGGAATAAAATTGGTGTGGCCTATAACTACAATGTAACTGTAGTTGGGATTGTGGTTTGCTCCATATCATGTGGCTTCAGCTTTAGATCTATTTGACTGACAGGTGTCTGAGTGTCTGGTCTACATCCTGTTTCAGAAGAATACAGACCCAGGTGTTTACATAAGGCCATGTTGACTTGATTATATGGATGACATCCATGCCTGCATGAATTTTTATCTCTTTCCAGAAAAAGTTTCAACCATACTGTAAATCACACAAAGCAACACACTGCAGAATGACTGTTTTTTTTAAATATTGGAAACAATATTAATGTCGTAGACTGAAAACAAAATTCCAAAGGAATAGAGAAGAAAGAGTGAAGAAATGAAAATGATTCAGAAGTGTCTATTGTTTCCATACCATACTCTGTTTAGTTATTTGTTCACCCTTCATGACCACATAGATTTCTTCATGAAGGCAACTTTTTTGCAAACTTTTTTTTTTCTTCTTATTCACACGCTCGCATCACCTTACAGTTTCCAGAGGATGTCATCCACATCATCATGGCCTAACATGGCAGAGTGATCAGGATGCAAAGCAGCTTGAAGACCAGACAGACAAGAGACAGAAAGAAAGATAGAGGAAGACCTACCTACAGTCAATACCCTACAGGTGAGAATTTAGACAGGAAGTCCTGTGTCAAGGGAGGAAGTAGGGATGGAGTCAGAGATTCTAGTCAGTCTGTATATAGGTGGATTGCACAGAGAGTTTGGAAGCAGACTACTGCACAGGACTAAGATATAATTGCAGTCCCAAGCATAAAACCTGAATTTAAGGCCACACCAATTAGATTTCTTGGTTAACGGATTTTTCTAGAAAAATAGTGGAGCGGGTGGGCGAAAAAATAAAAACAGGCCTTAAGGCATCCCATTATGGCCCAAAATGGTACGATAGGAGCCATGAAGTCAACACACCAGGCTGGTTCAAAATTTAAACAATGAATTTTGAACTTTTAATGATACCATTGCATTGAAAGATGGATAACTGTAACAACTTGGATGAAAAGGACTGTTTTCAGGGCAGTTGTTCAGGGCAAAATATGAGCATTTTGCAGTTGATTCTGAATTTTTATTTTTATTTGCAAATCAGAAAAAAATGAAGCGGGCAAATCCGTTAACCATGAAATTAAATTGGTGTGGCCTAATGAATCATTATAATATGAAAAGTGAACATTGGATTTCTGCTGAAATGAAAGATATGTGGTTAAAATGGAAATCATTATTTCTTACAAGATACATCAATAATAATCTAATACAGTAAAGAAAAAACATCAGGAGATATGCTTAGTTGGAGAGATACAAATATGCGTGTGTGTATATCACACAAACTCTTTGGAGAAATTTGAAGTTCAAACAATGTTTTACTTTTGGATGTGTGCATCGTATGTGAGTCCCAAACAGTTGTAACTTAGAGAGACAGTTACGAGGAAACCTTCCAACTATTCTTACTATTGTCTACCATTGCTTTAATTGTATTCTAAATTGTGACTTTCAGTGTTTCTATTTTCATGGTAACCTCTCCACTGCAAATTCATGACATTATGAATACATGACAATTTGTGTGACATTTACTGTACAACAGAATTGTTTTCAACCACAGATCTGACAAGCACAAGTGTACAGCCTTACTAAAAAACTGAAGGAGACCCCAATGAACCCCCTCCCCCATTCTACATGTATATAGGAATGCAAAAAGCTTGTTCAGACAACTTTAGACCCAAACCAAGGCCAGATTTAAGTATTTATCCCCAGTTCAAAACATTGCTACTGTATACATGGCTTTTAGCCTGGAGCTGTGCGATCACGGTTGAATCAACCATCTTGTCGATAACAAGAGTTGCCCTAACATGGCAACCAACAGGAAAGAGAAATAGAGGGCGTCCAAAAGAGACGTGGAGGAGAACAATGCAGAGGGACCTAAAAGAGAGGGGACTGACTCTGGACACAGCCCCGGACACAGCTGCAGATAGGGCCAGATGGAAATCCTTCCTGTCACCTCAAGAACCACTAGGTTCAGAAGAGGATTGAGTGACAGTGAGTGAGTGTGCCATCACTGTAGTTTTCTACAGTCACTGTGACTGTCTTTTATACAAACTGTTCTGTCATTTTAGCAAATCAGTAAATAAAACAAGATATAAATTTCATATACAGCGCCAATCTCATTAAAGGCATCCAGTGAGTTTTTTGGGCTTGGAAGCCCGATTTTCCAAAGTCTATATTCTAGTCACTTATCTACATACTGAGTTGAAACCAGACTATCCCAATGTATATTAACCCTCATGGAGCACAAATACCCAAAATTCTGATGGACAATGGTTTCTGGAAGGGCCCTGAGCTGATTTTTAGGGTACCACCAAGAAAATAGAGGACTCATCTTGCGGGGGGCTTGTTTCTGCAGTTTTACATACGCAAAGTATGAAATACTGATTGAAATGTGCTAATATGAAGCACTATGTGTCAGTATCATAAATATTGCCTAATTCATAATATTTCCAGTTTTGCTGCTCTGAAATCGCATTGCCAAATGGATGCCTTTAAAAAAACACAAACATGCGAGGGTGTCACCCCATGCCAAGGTCAGAGAAGGACGAGCAGTTTATCACACAGACTTACCCCATTGTCCTCCAGGTAAGCCAGCGATGCCTTGGCGTTGGTGACCTTGTCAGACAGTGTCATGTCACGACCCTTTCTGACGGCCTGTAGCAAAAAAACAACAACAACAGTACACAAGCGTTAGGTCATGGACTATCATATTGTAGAAGTATACAGATTGCCAGTGCAGAAATATAGCATGGGGAAAAGTGCAAATGGTGGCCTAAATACTTTTAAAATGCAAAAAATTCAAACTTTAAACCAGCATGTCATAGAACTGTATTTATTTAGAAAAGAATATGATTTTTCAGAAGCAGCATTAAATGCTTTCTAAAAGTTTAACCTTTTTTCTAGCCACCCAGTCAAGTAGCAACTTTGGTCCATGCATAACTTCCACAACTGCAACTTGCACCCCCCTCCCCATTTTTTCCTTCAGCAGGTAAAGTTTGTCCTGTACACATGCAGGTACAGCCTTAATATGTTGGATTTGATAATGTTTGGGTAGATGTCATAACTCCAAAGACAACAAAGCAATTCTTCTAGTAATGGGTCTGAAGGAAAAAATGAGATTTTTGCTTAAAATTTTTAGCTTCCTTGCTGTGTAACAGCAAGTTTGTGCAAATTACCTTCACACCAGTCCCTGTCTCTTTGTCTGGCACCTATGAGACAGTAGCATAATGTACACCTAATGTTAGTTGAAATAAAAAAATCAAGTGTCCTGCAAAATTCAGTTATCTTCTTATGGACAAGGTTGTCTTACATAATAGTAGTAACTAAGGCCACACCAATTTAATTTCTTGGTTAACGGATTTGCCCCCTTCATTTTTTTCTGATTTGCAAATAAAAATAAAAGTTCAGAATCAACTGCAAAATGCTCATATTTTGCTCTGAACAGTTGAAAACAGTCCTTTTCATCCTAGTTGTTAAAGTTATTCCATCTTTCAATGCAATGGTAAAATTTCAAGATTCATTGTTTAAATTTTGAACCAGCCTGGAGTGTTGACTTCATGGCTCCTATCGTACCATTTTGGGCCATAATAGGATGCCTAGGTCTCTTTTTATTTTTATTTTTTTTCGCCCGCCCGCTCCATTATTTTCCTAGAAAAATCCGTTAACCAAGAAATTAAATTGGTGTGGCCTAATTAAAGCGGTTGATTCCTCCACTGCCTGCTCAAAAATGTTACAGCATCAAAATTCTACGACAGTCTACAGCGAACGTGACCTGTACTGTTAGCGTGTAACCTTAAAGGATTAGTAATAAAGATGATAATTATTTATGATGCAGCCACACAGTCCTCAAGGGATTTACAGTTACTGTAGCTGTGTGACAAAATGATCGATGACATGGTGATGAAAGCTTTCAACTTAATAATATTATACAGCTACAATACCTTGACATGGCATTGTTTATTGACAATAGAATTAATGACCTCTGAGTCAACTGTTACTCAAACGTGATGCAACAGAGACCTTTAAGTTCACTCTCTGACTAATTTCTGTGTTTGTAACATTTTGACAGTGTGTCATTGTGCCTTTCAATCTTCCCCCACACACATGCTGTCAACCTACTCTGTCTACCCTACCAAAAATGCTTTTTTCTTGTTTTTCTTGTTTTCCTTGTACAAAGAAATGGTATCTTGTAGCAAGAAAATTATTCTTGGAACAAGAAATTTAAGGATCCCCGTTGCGAGAAAATTCAAGAAACACATTGTATATTGTGTTTCTTGAGTTTTCTTGCTGTAGCAAGAAAAACAATTCTGTCCACAAGAAAATATTTCTTGAACTAAGAGCTAACTGTTCTTGAAGCAAGAAAACCATTCTGTACACAAGAAAAGATTTCTTGTAGCAGAAAAAAATACTGTAAACTTCTAAAAATTCTTAAGATAACTGTTGGTGAGCATGATAGTAGAAATATTTTATTTTCTTAAGAAAAAAGAAGAATAAAATTCTTTGTGTAAGAATCAACATACAAAAACTTTGAAGAATGTTTCTTGAATTTTCTTGAAAATTCTCCTGGTAAGAAAGTATTTCTCAACATAAGAAAAATAAGAAAAAATATTTTTGGTAGTGATAGACAAACAAAAACCTACAGCTCAGCCATGCACCCAAAACAATTCTTCTGTATATGGAAAAATAAAAAAAAGTGCTGGGCTCAGTACATACCAGCTCCTCCCCAGACAGCACTTCCAGGAGATACAGCAGGTTGATCCCATCCTTCATCTCCTCAAACAGGTTGAAGATCGTGACCGGAGGGTTGCGCTGCAACAACAGGAAACCAAAAATTTTATAGATGAAGTTTATTGCAAATTCGTGCCCGGGGGGCTAATTGCAGTAAAAGAACAATGAAACGTAGTATAAAATAACTAAAATCTAAATAAAAGGTAGTTGTCTAGAGCTATAGCTATGTCTAAAACTATTGTCTAAGGGGTTTGACCTCTCTTTTTTAGACTATGGAAGACGTAATGTCCCACCTTTTCTAAAATTAGTGGGTTTTGGGAAGTTAAAAGAAGAATAGTTTTTTCTTTGTAAGTTTAGTAAAATTGGGATAAATTGTAGTTCAAGTTTGAATGGTTAACTCATTTCGAGCGTTGCTATATATATATATATATATGAAAGGAACAATTTGAGATAAAGTGTATTTCGTCTTCCACAGCCTTTGCATTACAATATTTACAAATTCTTTCACATACAGGTAGCCTTCTATAATCATCAGAAAAATCTCAGATTTCAGACTTCCAGGAAGTACTGAAATTTAAGGTGCTTCATGAAATCCCTGGCTGCTTGACCTGGCAAACTAGTTTCTCTCATGGTGCACTTGAAACCAACTTCAAGTCATTGTTAAGTATATATTAAAGGAGTAGTAGTTGTCCTATAGAATTGGGCAAAGGGTAAAAACTTTTTCTGTGTTTGGAACTCCACCTGAATGGCTCAATACTGCTTGCATTTTAGTGATTAAGCACACTGGGGTCAGCTTCTATAATTAACATTTTGTGTTTTGACTTCTGTCATCTTCTTAGCCATTTTTGGACTGGAGTGGAACCTGATAAAATTCTACATTAACAACATATTGCAATACAGGTTATCATATAGGGAGCTCCCTACAAATTCATTGTGGAGACAAAACCAACTTCTTTTGGAAACTTCTGCAAATGAACTTAGAAGAAATGTTTTAGGTGGATGATTTAAAGAAAGTTTTAAACACTCAGTCTGGCTGTTTTCAAAAACACAGGCTTGAATTTACTGTAGCCTGAGCCTCAGTTGAGCCAAGGTGACATTCCCTGCGCAAGGTCAATTGTATGATTGTGTACATTCTTATGTTTTGTCAATGCCACAATGTGATGCACATGTAATACTATGTTGAATATTTGTTTGATCCTTTATTCCTGAAATACTCAAAATTTAATTGGACTGCTCACTGCTTTTCATTGCAGTCATTGAGGTAGAGGATCATGTCAGAAAACATACTAATATTGAAGATGTATATTTTCTTACTACAATCACTACACTGAGTACTGAAAAGTACTTAGGAGTAACATTCAAGATAGCTTAGATGGCGACATCAAATGTCCTGCTAGAGCCTTGACACACGTCATACAATCTTTGTATGATTCTAGAATAAATGTTTCAGGTGGATGATTTAAAAGAAACTTTTAAGCAATGGCTTTAACTTAGGAAAACAGTATCTACTGTGCACATTCACCCTGGGGCTTGACTTAACTGCAGCTGAGCCTCATTAAATGTTACAGTTGAGCCAAGGTGACACCCCCTGGGCAAGGTCATTTGTGCACATTCTAAATGTTTTGTACATGTCATGTATAACTGTGATGTTCATATACATTTTGTACATGCAGTACATTTAAGATTACTGGCAGGTTTCAACCATGACATTTTGCATTTAGATTTGTTCATCCTCTTCTACACTCTAAGACTTGATATAAAAACTTTTCATGATAACTTTTTCAGAATTGTTAAATGATAATTATTGAATGCAGGCATGTGCAAATGACAATGTATAATGTATTTGCTCTGAGGTAGCTGTACATGCCGCGAAGGGTTCAAAGTGACTGACAGTCAACTTGCTTCTGGTGCAGGAGTGCTTCAAGTCAATATTTCTGGAATTTTAAAATATTTCTTATTCATTCATCCTTAGCTTTGTCAAGGGTTTTCAAAAGGTCGTAAAATGGTACATCTTTGTGGATGCAGACTCGTCATACCAGTAACTATTAAGACATTCAAGTGAAATGAAAGAGACATGATAGTATGGTCAGTAACTGAAAATTTCCTAAAAAATATTTATAGAAAGAACATAATAGTTTAACTAGTATGTTAGACTTAATTTGATTTACATCACTCAGAAACTGCCTTCAGTGCACACATGTAGCATACCAGTTTTGTACAGTAAGTAGAAGCTGCATGAGACATGGTCATTTGATGCACAACTGGGAAGGACCCCAGGCCTACTCTTTTTGATAAGTGTGGTGGGATCTTAAATGAGCTAGAGATGTGGTTGAAGACCTCCAGTTTTACATCCCATCTGGCAGGACATCTCTAACCAAAGGTACTCACTTTCCTCTGGGTTGAGTGAAGAAATAGGTTCCGAAGTGCTTTCCCCAAGGGCACAACATTGGGACCTGCTAGAGATTTAAACCTAGAACTTTGTAACAACAATACCTTATTGTCACCTCTGTTAATACATTCAATAACTAGAGATTGAAGTAACATTTGCAAAGCAAATGCATTATGTTTACCTTCGGACATGGTCTGCCCTGTTAATTCTTACTCAAACACATTCACATACTCGTACATGTATATGGTGACAGGAGTGGAGCAGACCATGAAATTGCAACATTATGTAACCCAACACCAGACACCATGGTGACAGACATCAACAAATCATGTCATTGGCCAGGTCAGAGGTTAGTGTTTGGAACAGAAGAGGAGGAGGAAGAAACTGAGTAAAAACAAAATGTTTTCCTTCGGTAAACATAAATATGTGTGTAACACAATTTTTACCTTGGCCAGATATGAGTTAGCCCAGTTGGTGAAACACTTTGTCTGCACCATCTGGTCATCTTTCAGGTCGACGGTCATCAGCAGGTCACGCGCGACTCCGGACACGTCCATTCTCTCCACAGAGGTGCCTACATGCAGACGGAAAAATGGTGTTGAACTTCTGCTACGGCATTTGCAATTCTCAAACAATAAGGACAAATTGCTTGCAAAAATATGTTAGCAAAAAGTGATATAAGGCACTGGCTCCTAGAAGAAGAAGAAGAAGGTCTCCCGTGCTCTTGCCCGAGCGTAGGGTGGTGCCCATCTCCGTTTCGTAGCCCTTGGGCGACACACAATTGTGCAATGCACTACAGCAGGGGGCTGGTCTGCTCACCTGTAGTGCTGTGTGTTTGACCTTCGCACACTCTTTCTCATATGTGCTGAGTGCTCAAGCAGAGAAAGAAGTGTGTACCATTTTTAAAGTATTTGGTATGACCCGGCCAGGGTTTGAACTCATGACCTCCTGGTTACAAAGCGAGCCCTCTAACAATTGAGCTATTGCACCGGTGCACTGGCTCCTAAGACCACAGCAAATATGTCGACATCTGTGCAGATTTGACCTGATTTAAAGAAAAAATTGTTTGATGCCTTTGAGTGTTGACATTCTACACTAAGTCTAGTGCCTCTTTCTTCACTTCTGAAATACAGGCAGGGGTAAAAAAAACTAATTGTTGACTGTGATATGTTTTGTGACAGGCTGAATAAAAGTTCTAAATGGGAACTATGTGGCTCCAGGTGTCTTACTGTGGGACGACTGCGTGTGCAAGATGTCGGTAGCTTGAGGAATGAATCCCCTCTACTGTATATTGTTGACTGTGATATGTTTTGTCACTTCAATTCTTGTTGCACTCACTCCCCAACCGATTTATCGTATTTTGAAAATTCTGGCATCTTGTTCATTTTTTTCCAAATTTTTTGCTTTTTTGCACTGTCCCACATGGAGTTTACAAAGAATATCATCCATAAAATTAACTAACTGTGGCCTACACAATGAAATTAACACTTAGAACCAATAAGTCGTCATAATCTCAGACTTGCAATGGTTGTAAAATGATGACATCAACTGTGAAAGTCTTGTTTACAGAGAAAGAAGATTCACCAGCCTGAAGCCGACTGGTGACAGACAGGTGGGCGTGTACATTTTCCTATTTTGTCACCGTAGTAAATAGACGCCGTGGCGGTTAACCAAGCATGACGGTTGGCAAAAGTACCGGTTTTTAACCACAGTCTAGACTGAAGCATACAGTATCCCGCCAAACCTGCACGGCAAGGGGTACAGTTTAATGGCAACGCCCAGTGTTTTTTTTCAAGGTGGGCCTAAAATTCTTTAGACTCAATTAGAGGCTTGTTCTCACTATGTTTTAATGAATAAAAAACAAAAACAAGAAGTGGCCACAACAAGAAAGGACCGCTTGTCATTAGAAGGTGACGGCTGAGCAACAAAAATTCAGGATTTTTGCAAACTTTGATTTAGACTTGGAATATGATGCACAATGAAACAATTCTTTTAGTACAACCTTATAGAGATACACAATATTAAATGTTTGTATTGTCATGATTTTGCTTTGAGAGGACAACAGTAAAACTGCAAAATTAAAACCACCACTGACAGATTTCTAAGTAAAAAAACTTACAATTTAGAGAACCAGTAACTAAAGTTTGTCCACTCCTACGTATATATTGCATTACCAGTAACTTTTGTTACATATACTAGTAGTGCATTTTTTCCTTCATAACAAAACGTCTTTAAAAACTTAACACCTGTGTTGTTCTATATTTCTATCTCATATAAGTGTTTATATTTGTTCATTTCTTCCCCCAGTAGAAGCTAGTCGTTTGCACAACAATCCGAAGATCCTTTTCCTCACGGTTTCTTATGAATTACTCCTTAGGCCACACCAATTTAATTTCTTGGTTAACGGATTCGCCCGCTTCATTTTTTTCTGATTTGCAAGTAAAAATAAAAATTCAGAATCAACTGCAAAATGCTCATATTTTGCCCTGAACAGTTGAAAACAGGCCTTTTCATCCTAGTTGTTACAGTTATTCCATCTTTCAATGCAATGGTATCATTAAAAGTTCAAAATTCATTGTTTAAATTTTGAACCAGCCTGGTGTGTTGACTTCATGGCTCCTATCGTACCATTTTGGGCCATAATAAGATGCCTAGGCCTGTTTTTATTTTATTTTTTTTTTCCGCCCGCCCGCTACATTATTTTTCTAGAAAAATCTGTTAACCAAGAAATTAAATTGGTGTGGCCTTATTACAGAGTAATCCTCTGTCATTACTCCATAAAGCCTTTTGTGGACATGACAATGACAATGACATTCTTACGTCTTTGTCAATCCAGATCTATCCCGAACTCCACCCTAAGAATGTCTACAAAGAATGTCAAATCCTCAGAACCTCAGGGAGGGTTTTCATTCACACAATACATGCAGTGACGAGATCTAAATTCAGTTTTTAATCTCGCTTTTTGTAAGCATGGGTGGTACATTTTATTTGATGTCTGTTTGTATGGTCATCTAGAAAGTACCTACGAAAGAAAATGACTTTCCTCACTAGACTCAAGTGAAAATGAGTATTGTCTGTCCAGTATTCGTTTCTATGTGCGGGACACAACACCAGCAACAGCTGCCTCTGTTCCGCGTGTATTGCATTCTTGCAATTTCCATAAAATCAACATCAAAAGAAATTGAAGCCTTGATGTAACATTACATATTTTTCATATATAAACATTAAATTTTACCATTATGTAAAAGGTCCAAAATTATGACACACCATCAAAGTAGCATCCTCCTACTGTCTGTCAGTGAGTTTATACCCACAGCATGAGTTACCCGGTGTATTACTTAAGCTTCAGTCGAGCCTTGTTTCCGACAAGAGGCTCACCATGGGGCAGACATGTTAATCCATTATTACTCAGAGCAGCCTTTTGTGACATTGACAATGAAATACCACACCAGGTCCTTAGTCACTTATTCATGATACAGTTCTATTATGAACTCCTCCCTCTGTTATGGGGGCCCGCAAGCCCTTTTGCGTAGAGCGTATTCGTCGTTTTAATTCAACCTTTTAATATGCAAGCGTAATCGAGGGTTTCCGAATTCAGCGTAGAGCGTTGTCAGGACCCCCCCCCCTGCAGGCCCTCTGTAATGAATGTCAAGAACTGGCAACACCAAAAGAATATTTTCCGAAGGGTTTTTATACACTAGTTGCCATAATACTGTCCCCATTGCAAGAAGGTAATTTGTTCATGATTATGTTAACTTTGTAGCAGTATTTTATTTCTTTGTCGTTTTGCACCAATATATTAAGTCAAGATGCTCAGTGGATGGATTGTCAGATGAAATTTGTCACTGTTGTATCAAAGAAAAGATTAGATTTTGGTAAATGATTAGTATTGTATACTTGTGAAATATGCAAATTACATAGAAGTGAGCATTTAAGTTATGCATTACTAGTATGCAAATTAGGTTATTTCCATAGTTACTAATAACATTGTTTGGCAAAGCTATGGGGTCATCGAACTCTTGTTCTACTTTCATTCACCATGGCCTAAGCTAGTGTCAGTATACCGTAAATCTTGAGATGTTTACTGTGTTTTTCTTTTCACAGTTTTCACAGTCACCTCTGCATGAATTTATGACACCAGAGACGTCCAATCTAACGTTACATGTATTACTGCTGCACTGCAGAATTGTTAAAACCACAAACTAAAACCAATGTGAAAACCTCCTTCCACTATACACTTAAGTCCCCTGTGAAAATAAATGAAGTTACAGAATTAGGCTTTAAGTTAGCAGGGACTCGTACAAATTGTTGAATTTATGGGATTAGCCAGGCGTTTTAGGATAGAATTTCTATTTTTCTATGTACAAATTCTACCATATACACTATATACAGTTTATACAAAAGTCTTAATAAGAAAGTTTATTTTCATGGATCATTCAAGGCTAAAAAATACCCATGAATATATTTGGGCCAAAACCTCTGTACCACAGTTGTATAATGAATAGTGAAATGTTGTCTACACCATGATCTGGTAAGGATTGAACAGATAACTTGTTGAAACAGTAGTTAATTGTAGTAATTATGTTGCAGAGGAGGAACCAATTACAGGACAGGGTTGGGTGAGCTGTTTCTGTCTGCAAACAGGTGTCAAAAGGTCCTCTTAGCCTGTATAATCAAGCCTGCACCCTCTTTCATCACACTTCTTCTTTTAAAATGATTTCTAACTTATTTAAGGCCACACCTATCTGATCTGTTGATGTTTTCTTGTTGTTGTTTTCTTTGCAAATAAAAAATAAATAAAAAGTCTGGCAAATTCGAAAAAATGAGAAAGCAAATGGCCTAAGTACAAAATGGGACTATTTCAGATCATAGAAACGAAGTTAAACCAAAACAAAAATTCTTAAAGAAAAAGTCACAAGAACACACTCAGACATACCAGAAATAAAAAGCTCACAGCATTTTTGTATCACATATTAAGGACCACAGGAAGAGTTGTAGTTAACAGAAATGTCAAGTGGATACAAATAAATTCAAAGTCATTGAGACAAACTTTCGTGACAAATGAAGAATTTGTATGCTCTGTAGTCTTACTTATTACATGACCTTGATGCTGATTTTCAATTTTTTTCCACGAGATCACTATTATTTATAATAGTAAGTTAAACTTAATTTTCTCAATGCTGAGGCTACTAGTACCAGCCTTAGTTTTCTATAGTTTTATGGCAGCAGACACAATGGACAGGTGACAAGATTGTATCCATTCCCAGGAGAACAAGGGCGGTACAGGTAACACAATCACACTGGGCAGTCTACATCTTTTGTTTCCCTTTAACAGACAACATTTCAGCCTTGGCAGGTGGTTTTTGATTTAAATTGTGTTGAACAATGGTATTGTCCAAAAACTAGGGAAAGATTTCTTGATTTATCTTTTAAGTTAAATGATGTCCTTGAAAATGATCAAAACAAGAATATGCATGGGTGAAAGTGAGCCTTTCTGAAGGTAATTATTAAAGACTGGCGTCAAATTCCTTGAATTCCAAACCAAAGTAGCATTAAAAATGGGGTGTTTTGTTGTAAACACTGTACCTGCATACATAATCCTTTCAGGAAATGGTCAAAATAAGTGTGTTCCTTTTTACTGTTATACATGACTAGTATATCTTATCATAATACAATGGTCCTTGAACTGAAGAAGGCCTTGCCAAATAATTTACATGTAACGTTACATTATGTGGTCATCCTTACTAGTTCAAATGCCTGGAATTAAACATGACACCACCCCCATTGCACAGGTTTCTTGTGTTACACGAATTTTGCAACCATAATTTGTACCATAGATCACCAAAATAGGGACGTCACATATTTCAGAGATGACCGGACTGTCTCGTTACGTATTGTGTGAGTCTGACTGGGTAATGAATAATTTAGACTGCACGCACACAACAGACATTTTGAGAGGGTGTGGTGGTGTAAAACAACAGCTGGGGACCTTTCAAGGGGAGGATATGTGTGGTTACTGTTTTTAGGTAGCTTTTTAAACATCAAGAAATCGTGTGAGGTTATTCCATACATTGTTTTCAAGTTTAAGGTAGTTCACACTTTACAACAAAACATTTCCACACTCACAATGTGTGAGAATTACAATGTCATGTGTTTGCCCATACGATTCAGGAAGCTGGTTTAAGCCTGTTTTCCTTGCTTCGTGAACGACTGTTGGCCCCTCCCCAATCCGGGACCTGATCTCCCAACGTTTGTTTACGGCTGAGTTACCGTAGTACTCACCTTACTTCATGCATTACAAGATCTAAAATGCCGGGGATTAGAATAGACAATTTGAAATGTCAAATGTGCAGGAAATTATAAATTGATATTCCTCAATCCTCAGGCTCAGAAAGGAGAAGGAACAGAAGAGACACTGCAGACGACTCTTGTGAGGGTCATTTTGAAATTAGCGAGTCTTGCCCCAGGCAGAATGTAACCGAAATTTGTTTAAAAGACGCTTTCAAACCTCACACCACAAACATGGCTGAAGGGGAGGGACTTTCATTACTGAAGAACGATAGCCCAGGTCAAAATTATTTGACGATCTGTTCTTCTTGTGTTGGTACATTATTATTACCTTCTGATTGTTACGATGTGGCAGGATTGTAAACAAACTCTTTCACATGAAACCCGACCTTGCTTCTTGTGGAAACCTGACCATGATGGGATTAACAAAATGTTGTCTACACCTTTCATAATGATTGTTTCTTTTCCAAGACACACCAGCACTCAAAGGCTCATCTGCATTGAAATAGCTTATCAAGAAACACTGATATGCATACAAATGAAAAAAAAAATCATGGTAAATAGCCAGACAACACTGAATACCTGTCTGGTGGGTGGAACCTGTTCTTGTTTGTGTTTTTGCAAAACGATGCTGGGAGGGGGAGGGGTAAAGACAATTTTCAACCCTGCACTTACACTGTAAAACAATCTGTACAAGGTATTTAAACTTGCTTGTGGAAAGAGTTTCTTTGAATCAGACATTACAGGAAAGTGGGGGGCTTGACCTTAACTGTTTTCCTGTTGGAGTGGTATGTTTGAGGGGATTCAGAAATTAGCAATCATCCATGAAATTATGTGCTTCAAACTGAAGCATTGGGTGTGAGTCACTGTCTGCAACTAGCATTCCGACTATCCTGTCTCAGAGATTTAAAACACAGTTTGACTTTAAGTTTGACTTTGCCATTCACTTCCTCTACTAGAGGATCTAAACAAACAGTGTGCCGTAGTTCCCGACAAAGCATGACGTCGTGCCCGAGATCTCCTATTCACAGAAAATTTGTCCAAATGAAAAGGAAACGCAAACAGACATAGTTAGTGTGGTGCTGCAGACGCCCAAATCTTACAGCAAGATGGGAAAATGCCAGGGTCTCTGCATTGTGATTTTGTAATAAGCTAATCAGGCATGACTGTAGTGGGTGAAAAATGACCCGTAGCGTCTTCCTTCAGGCTAAAATGGGGGAACAGTACTTTACCTCGGCTGGTGCCCTTCTTCCTGCGGCCTGACAGCGTTCTAGTCAGGCTGGTCAAGCTGCTGCTCCTCTTCTTTTTACTGCTGGACATTGTGAAGCAGGTGTGGGGGCAGATCCAGGTGACAAGAGAACTTCAGCAAAGCTTCCCACTCGACCTCACCACTGACTCATGGATACTAGAACTTTCAGACAAGCTGTAGTCTGAACCCGACCGGGCTGGCTCGAGTAATTACCCCCTTCCCTTAATAGGAACGAAGCGCAGGCCACGCAACAATTGGCTGAGCTAGGTAACGCATACAAATGCCATCCCTGGTGTCATCATGCATATTAATGAGATGCAAATGCATAGGATTCACTGGAGCATGGCAACCTCTTTGCCTCGCATGGCTAGAAAGCGCAAGGACGGCAGTAACTTCATGCGTATTTGTTTTGTGTCTGTAGGCACTAGTCGGTGTTCAGAGTGTATTAATGCCAGGAAAATGCTGATTTGACAAAAAAAGTGCAAGCATACAACAGATCTTAGTCCATGTCCATTAAAGAGATGTGGCATTCCTGCAGACAAATGGGCATTATCTCCGTGCGATCGGCGTGGGTGCACAATCGCAAACAGTGTCAACACAGGTGACATCTGTGCCTGGGACAAAAAGAATAACACCAGTTCCAGTTACCTGAGGATGATCAGCATTGTTTGGTCTGTTGGGGTGGAAGCTAAGACAAGGGGGGCGTTGCAATTTTTTTTGAATATTCAAAAAGTGGGTGTGTCCCCCAAACGGGTACAGAGTTGTTGCCTTACCCCTCTCAGGCATGTATACGCAGTCTGGAGGGTGGAAGTAAAAGGGTTGTGACCTTTTTAATTCAGGATTTGGGGCTGGCCGTGCATACTAACCACTCCTGGGATTGTTGTAAGTCACTCAGGCAGAAACCACACCTGAGCGGAAAAGCAAAGGTGAGGTGGGACTACAATGCACTTAGATCACAAGAACAAATCGGGTACTAGAGAACACCCAGGAGGGACCAAGATCCCTTGACTTAAAATACACTTTCAGGTCTATAAAATAGAACTCCAAAGAAAACTCTGCCTGCAGACCCTGTACTGTAAAAAGTAGGCCATCAGGTGAAAGGCAACAAAAAAAAAAACAAGCACACTGTAACAGTTGTGGTAACTGTAGTCTCAGTGTTTTATGTCAGTAGCTAGCCAGTCCGACAAGTGCATTGAACCCGCACCCACAATTATGGCGTCAGACAGACACTGAAATATGCATAAAGGGCAGACTGATAATAATGTGATATGAAGAGTTGTCAATACAAAAGTCCAACCACATATCCTGCAATTTGATGCATTTAGCATGACTAAAGGGAAGGAAAACTTAAGTCAAGGATAATTTAGTCATTAAAAGCCTGTCTTTGATCATTGTTTGAATTTATTCATTTAGTGACTATCGGTATTGTTAAGAGTTATATATAACATGAAATCAGAGATTTCTGAATCCCTGTACATTTGGCCAGTGTGATTCCTGTTGGATCCCTGACAAGAACTCCTGTCATTCTGCCTGTCAATCTTCCCCCACCCATGTGTTGTCAGCCTACTCTGTCCCAACGAACAGAAACATAAGCCCAAAATTCAGTCACCCAAAAGATTAATTTTACTTTTGACCATCTTTTCATTTTCATGTTTGTCCACATCAGTTTTAGTTTGTGCAAAGAATGTCATCCATAAAATCAAGTCAGTGTGGCCTAAGTGTACTGAACACTGTCAGATGGACAGTATATTATCAAGTTCAAGTTTTATTGCAAATTCATGCCCTAGGGCTAATTGCATGAACAGAAGAAACATTTGGTATAAAAACAGTACCCTGTATAGCAATGAACGAAATGAACTCTTTGACGTAGCCTCCAAATACCCAAACTTTCACACATATACAAAGGAAAAGAAAACTCCTCTTAACATCCGAAAACCCACAAATGACAGAAAAAGTGGGATCCTTTGTCTTCCTCTGTCTTCAAAAAAGAAGTCAAACCCAGTAGTTTTTACTAGTAGTTTCTTAGTAGTTAGTAGTTGAGAAGAATTAGTAAAACCATCAAAATTCAAAGAAAGCAAATCTTGCACATCATTTCCTGACACAATATTGATGCCGGATAAACAAGACAAAACAACCAGCATAAACTTCAAGTCACCTTATGCATACTCTATAGAATACTATTACGATGTAGTACTTTAGACCTGAGAGGTCGTATTTATCACTCTATCCTCCAGGTCACACCAATCTAATTTCTTGGGTCTTGGATTCCACTTTTTTTTTTCTGATTTAGAAAAATAACGTGCATTTAGCGTTACAGGTTTTAAATCAGCCCCAAAATGCTCATATTTTGGCACAAACAGTTGAAAAAAGTCCTTGTCATCCCAGCTATTAACGTTACAGTTTTCCCATTTATCAATGTAGACAATTGGTTTGATTAAAGTTGAAAATTCATAGTTTGAATTATACACCAGGCTTGTATGTTGACTTTGTGTCTCTTAGGCCACACCAATTTAATTTCTTGGTTAACGGATTCGCCCACTTCATTTTTTTCTGATTTGCAAATAAAAATAAAAATTCAGAATCAACTGCAAAATGCTCATATTTTGCCCTGAACAGTTGAAAACAGTCCTTTTCATCCTAGTTGTTACAGCTATTCCATCTTTCAATGCAATTACAGTATCATTAAAAGTTCAAAATTCATTGTTTAAATTTTGAACCAGCCTGGTGTGTTGACTTCATGGCTCCTATCGTACCATTTTGGGCCATAAATAGGATGCCTAGACCTGTTTTTTTTTTTCGCCCGCCCACTCCATTATTTTTCTAGAAAAATCCGTTAACCAAGAAATTAAATTGGTGTGGGCTTATGGTACTTTTAATTTGTAGCTATCACAGGATGAAGAGGCATGCTTTTTGGCCAACCTGCTTCATAATAACCAACAAATTAAATTACTTTGGCCCTATAGGAGACAGGAATGGGAGTGAGACAGATTAACAGTGGCTTACCAAGTACTTAGCACCCACTTCTTAATATCCTGTAATTAGGCTCTAACAAGTAAGGAATGGACTATGTACAGTCAGTAGTCATTAACCCCCTACAGCTGCCCAATCTAATTGTTTTGTCATCCTAAAAGGGGCTATGTCAGCTTCTATTTTGAAAAGAAGAATGCCAGACCTAAGTCTAGTACAGTCAAAACTGGCCAAGAAGAGCACTGCGGGGACCATAAAAATGTGCACAGGCGACTACTACAGACTGTTGTTGTGAGCTTATATAAGGCTACACCACAGCAAGTAAATTTTATGGAAATGAAAGTCATTGCATTTACGGTTGAACACAAAATATTTTCCTTATTTTCCAAGAAGACTCGTATTACAGTCATTTTAAGCCATAAGGCCACACCAATTTAATTTCTTGGTTAACGGATTTTTCTAGAAAAATAATGGAGCGGGCGGGCGAAAAAAAAAAAAAAATAAATAAAAACAGGCCTAGGCATCGTATTATGGCCCAAAATGGTACGATAGGAGCCATGAAGTCAACACACCAGGCTGGTTCAAAATTTTAACAATGAATTTTGAACTTTTAATGATACCATTGCATTGAAAGATGGAATAACTGTAACAACTAGGATGAAAATGTCTGTTTTCAACTGTTCAGGGCAAAATATTAGCATTTTGCAGTTGATTCTGGATTTTTATTTTTATTTGCAAATCAGGAAAAAATGAAGCGGCGAATCCGTTAACCAAGAAATTAAATTGGTGTGGCCTAAGTGACCTAAAAATAGTCAAAACTAATGATTTTGTAAATCTTAAAACATTTGCTGCAGTAATGTTATTTTCAGTGTTTTCAGAGACCTCACCACCGCTCTATTAGGCCACACCGACTTAATTTTATGGAAGGCCTGGGTAGTCCATGGCTAAAGAAGCTCCACGACTCAGGAACTCAGCATATACGTACAGTACCGATTCATAAATTCCGCAAAAAGCCAGCATGTGCCGGCTTGTCGTATACGTCGCTATGTACTGCCACAAATTCACAATTACCAGCTTGGTATTCATGTGGTTTAGTAGCATTTTTATTTTTGGCCGGATTTTTTTTTATTCGCCCGCGTGCACTAGTTTGGGGGTCTTCAGAGGATGTCATCCATAAAATTAAGGCGGTGTGGCCTTATGCATGCATTTCTATGATTGTATCACAGTACAACAGAACTGCTTCACCCGCAAGGGTATAACATAAAGTAACAAAAGCCTCTTTCTTTCTTTCCTTTCTTTCTCTTTCCTTCTTTTTCTTTCCTTTTTTCTTTCTTATATTTCAGTCCATACCATGGTATGGATGAAATATATTGTGTTCTCTGATGTTTCTTCTCCTTCTCCTGCCAAACAGTCAAAGGGATTCAACTCCGCCATCATTCAGCCAAATGACTTGAAATTTGGCATGGAGGTAGAGTGGGCCAATACCCCCAGGCGTTTTTTTCATTTTTTTGATACATGCCTTTGAAAAATTTTTATGAAGGTTTTTTGGGGCATTTTTCGCCAAAAAATGGATTTTTGGATCCTGAGCCCTGGTTTTACAACCAAATGATCTGAAATTCGGTATAAGGGTACCTTGAACATGTGTCTACAGAATAGCAGTCACATATTTGGCATACACCACTTCCAAATGACTCATTTGGGGGACTATTTTCAGCAAAAAAAGGGCCAAAAGTGCTGTACCCGTTCCATGTTCTATCTAAAGAATGGCCTGTTCCATCTGCCGTTGGCCATGGAACAGGTGTTCCATTGCGGGTTACCTGAGGTCACATTGCACGTAAGTCATTTGGAATGACCCACACATTCAATTTTATGTGCCTAAGACCTTCAAAATGTATAAAATCTCATCATTGTTAGTATTTGCATACCTGTAATAAGACTAGTAAAGCTTTCGAGATTCAATGTGCTTGTTCTTGCATCTTTGTTCTCAATTACAGAGCTACTATTTAATTCATTTATTTGAGAATCGTTGCCAGTTTTACACTGGGGTAAGTTTGGAATAGTCCACTTTTGCGTGGGAGGGAGATGGACTGAAATATGCTGTATTTGCTCCCAAGCAAATGTCGGCCTCTCTAGTTTCTTTCTCTTTCTTTTTCTTTCTCTCTCTCTTTCTCTCTCTTTCTTTCTCTTTCTCTCTCTCTTTCTTTCTTTCTCAACCACCTGCTTCATTGATTTCCTGCAAAAAGCGACAAGCAACGAATCAAATTGGTACGGCCTAACCTTCTACAGTTTCCTGTTTGACAAAAAATAGCTTTAAGTGTATGGACTACTCTG